GTACTAAGAACTCACTTAAGTCCCTTCCATCAATAATATGGAATATAATCAGATCACACATGTGAGCAAGCTAGCAATACCTAGATTTCTGGATGAAACCTCATCAGCCTCAGCCAATGGGATTTGTAGTTTTAAAAAGTGCAGCAGGCAACAGGTTATTTGCTCATGAAATAGAAAACTTTAAACATGTTGCAAGTATGTTTAATTTTTTACACGTTTGGAATTTTTTTCCAACTTGGGAACATCAAGATGTGTGGACTTCAACTCCCAGAATTCCCCTTCCTTAAGGTTTCATGATGATCATAGCAAGAAGGGTTTTTCCTGACCCTGTCCAGACGTTTTGTCTTCAAGTATTTCATGTAACACAGCAAAAGTTGTGCTTTTGCTGTGAACCACCAAGTTCAAATCTTCTCTTTAGTATTAACTTGCTCTCTCCTCTGTCCCCAAATCTGGATTATGAGAGATACTAATCACTGCCCCATGTTAAAGAACTATTGCAAGCATTATAAACACTGCAATTCACTCTAGAAATATGGTTTTCTGTTGTCCTTTTTTCAAAACACTAATATACCCCAATAATAATAAGCAATCAGAGAATATAACTACCCTTCTCTAAGGGCATTCTATATCCTTTTCTATTTTACCAGCTATGAAAAATCAATGAAACGATATATTATACAAAGGGTATAATCACCATATGCATATCTGGGAATAAGCCCTTATGAATTTAATCAGGTTTTTGGAAGAATTGCCCTGTTAGTTCAGAGCTAATATTGATATAATCTGTTATTTATTTTTTTGTTTGCTTGTTTATTTCTTGGTTGCTTTTCATACTACCCATTATCAGAATGAATATAAACTTAAAACATATTAAGGCAGTGAACAGTAATATCCAAGATCTTATTATGACCAAAAGGTATTTTTAAATGGAGAACAACATAATTTAATTTGACCTAACAAGGCATACTTGTGGAAAGGGATGAAGGGAGAATTCCAGATAGAAAACACCACTGAAAAGACTCACCTAATTTATTGAGAGCAGCCAGAAGAAGCCATCTGAAGATACAGGTAGTCCTCGCTTAACGTCTGTTCATTTAACGACAGTTCAAAGTTATGACGGTCTCAGAAAAAGTGCCTTACAACCTGTACTTGCACTTATGACCATTGCAAACCATCACACCACCACTGCAGTCATGTGATCGGAATTTGCAACCTTTTTTACGACAGTTGTTAAGCGAATCGCCATGTTCACTAAACAAATCACGTGGCTGTTAAGCAAATTCCAGCAAAAATTGTCCATTGGAGAAGCTGGATTCACTTAACAACCATGTGATTCACTTAACTACTGCAGTGATTCACTTAACTACTGTTGTAAAATAGTTGTAAAATTGGGTCCGGTCAGATGGTGACCTCCTTAATGACCACCCCAGTTAATGACCAATTTTCCAATCCCTATTGTGGTTGTTAAGTGAGCACTACCTGTACAGTCTGGGCAAGTATTTATGGGAGGAAATGATTCTTCGGGAACCTGGCCCCCAGCTAATTAGTGCTGTAAAATTTCACATCTAGTACCCTCCCCCCGAGAAACAGGCTGAAAGACAGGGCAAATCACAAAACACTGATTTAAAAAGCCTATACAAAACAGCCAGCATGATTTAACCTCTCCCATTCAAGCAATTCACCAGAAGAGCTACCAATAACAATACATAAATGTGAAATGCATAACAGTAAGCGGAAACAGCAAATTGTAAAAACAGAATGAATAAAATCAGCATAATCGGAACACACTATCAAGACTAAGAATATAAAAGCAGCTAATCACCTGGAACAATTGTAGTTTCTACAGTATTGGTTTTATATGCTTTTATATGTTTTAAGATTGTATTTGTTCTTTCTGTAGTTTTCAATTGTTGTAAGCCACCCAGAGTCATGCATTTGGATGGGTGGCCTTATATATCAAACAAATAAATAAGTCTAGGAAGACATCCTAGAGGGTAAGCAGATGAGTCTTCCTTGGGAGCACCACTATTGAAAAAAGCAACATTCCCCATCACCATTCAGATAACAGGGAAGGGCCTTTGATAATAACCTGTACAAATCCCCTTAATTCAGTGTTTCTCAACCTTAGCGACTTTAAGATGTGTGGACTTCAACTCCCAGAATTCTCCAGCCAGCACGCTGGCTGGGGAATTCTGGGAATTGAAGTCCACACATTTTAAAGTCCCTAAGGTTGAGAAACACTGCTCTAATTTAAACCAAAACTTACATTTATTAAATCTATAGGCATCATGCCAGCCACCATTCTCATGCCTCCAATGCCCCCACTAAAATGCAAATATTCTCTAAGCCACTCAAATCTTGAGACTCACCAGCAGCTCTACCAGCTACTACATGAAAACTGTATTGTGGATCACAGAGCCCAGTGAGATCAGCGACTCTGGCCTTTCCAAGTGTGAACAAGCCTCCAAACCAGACCCAGGCTGTCTCTGGGGGCGCCATTACCCATGGCTAATTTAATTATGGCTTATTCAATTAATCCAACTATTTGGGTTTGCATGACACACTGAACTATAAGTTAACGATGTGGGCTGGGATCACAGGATGCACGATGCTAAAATTTAGCTGGCCATTTGTGGTTGTGTGTTGGAGGGACACAGCCACATTTTACCAACATCAGGAGGAGGAGGAGGAGGAGGAGGAGGAGAATGCTGTTTAAATCACTGTAATCCAGGAAGAGAACAGGTTAGAGTCATCGTGGCTGTGTTTACACGACACACAGCAGCACAGCTGCCCACTCATATTTTATTATAACTGGTATGTAAAATAAATACAAGGTGAGGGAGGGTGGGGTGATTCCTACTTTGATGTCTTAGGAAGCAGAATTCTGTAGATAAAAAGTTAATTTTCCAAAGGTTTTTGATACAGTTGAATCAATGTATCTGGTTGCTCTGAAGTGAGGATATCAGATGCGAAAAAGCTGAGATTAAGAAAGAGACAAAGCCTTGAATCTTCGTCTGGTTTGCAAAGCAAGGGACATCTGAGAGGTGTGATGGGAGGGAACGTGATGTCCAATGCTCTTTATGGGGGTATCTCTCCTTTGGAGGAGTCTGCCCCCCCCAGCAAGGGGGGCTCCCACTGTCATGGCCTTTTAAGAACTGCTTTTTCAGAAGACTTTTACTGTATAGTTTAATCAGGGTGGAATCACTGGTGTCAAAATGGTTTTATTAATGTGCACTACATTATATTACTTACATATTATTGTTTGAAATTGTATGTTGCTTTGAGTCCTAGTTAACCAAGGTGACAAATAATCCCGTAAATAACTAAAAGTAATTTAAAAAAAAACACTAGCATTTCAGTTAGCAGACCGTTAGAGGACTCTGAATACAACAGGCAAATATTTCATACTGATACTCCCCTTTCGCATTTAATCAATAAAATTCACTGTATCCCCATAAAAAGTCTGGACAATTCATGTTAGTCCCATCCATTTCCGTCAGGACACAGAAGACATCACTCCTTGTTAAATATTAAAATTATATGCCATGCATCAAAAGAAGGACAACACCGGATGGTGTTTTATAAATAGAGGAGTCCAAATTACGTCACACTGAGCCGTGGAACCAACTCTTTTCAAATTTGATCTATTCAGATGAATGAAGATGCAGCTGTCCGGGTTCCCATCTGTTTATTTTACTGTTCTGATTTATCAGCCCAATCCCTAGAGCCCAGGGCAGGGCCCATAATAAGGAACCACAGAAAAAGAAATAACGTGAAGAAAATACACCCTTCTCTGGAGCAGCCTCCCCCCGGATACCCAGCTGGGCCAACTCCGTTAGCTTTTGGAAAAGCGATTAAGGCAGGTCCTGTTTCGGTGGGTCTTCGAAGTTGCTTTTTCTCCCTCAAGGAGAGTGAACCTTTATATGGATTACGGTTGGTCCTTGGTGTCTGGGTAATAGACATTTGTTGTTGCCGTATTTTGTTTTTAATCCTATTACTGTTTGTAAGTCTGTAAGCCATCCAAGGTTCACTTCTGACCCATGTGGCGTTTAAGCCTAGCAAAAAAATATGAGTTGCTGTTCCTTCCACCAGCTGGATCTCAGGAACGCTGGACCTCAGTTTGCTCGTTCCTACCTAACCAGGAATAAGAGGTATGGCAAGATCATGAAGAAGCTCTAATTTCACAATATCGAGAACGCTCACTCGTTTCGATCACGTTCCATGAGATCTATTTTCAGCTAGGAACGTGCGACCCTGCGCTCTGGAAGTCCGACAGCCGCCAGATTCCAAGCTTCTGGAAGCTGGAAATGCAGCAAATCTGGAAGACCCCAGGTAAGGGAGGACTGTTTAGAATCCTAGCGGGCTGGATAGAGATTAATGGTGGCTTAATCTCACCCTGGCTGGAAGGGGATTTGAACCTCACCTTCAAAGACCCAAGTCACCTGTATTTCCTGTGCAACCCAAAGAGACAGACTCAGTCGGAGGAATAAGCGTGCTGAGGAACTGTTGTCCTTGTATACAGTCCCGTCAGGCCGCCACAAAGGACAGAGCCCTGCTTCCACCACCACAGGGCTGAAATTTTAACAAAGAAAACCACAGAAGTTGCAGCAACGGCGCACACACACTATGCAATTATGTCGGTTGCAATGGGAGGCTTGTTTACCGGGGAGGCAGGGGAACAATGCCCTGGGTTTTTGTTTTTCTTTTACACTTCCGTTGTCGAAGTTTCACGGCTTTTCAGCTGCGAGGCCTTTTAAAGGCTCTGTGCCCGACAGCAAAGCCTGTGAAGTCGCCCGCGTTCAAGAGGACCTACTTTTCCTGCAGATCACGTTCGGACAACGGGGCCCAGCATAAACCAGCCCGCATAGCCGCTGCTAGGCATTCTGGGAATTGTAGTCCTAACGCATGGCGGGGGGACCCAACTGCAAAGTTACGGAACGGTAGTCTAAGCCGAAGCGTTTCCCCGTCTTGCCGAGTCACCTCCGCTCGGCGGCATTCACCTTCCAGTCCGGATTGCGCTCTTCGATCGGGCGCCGGCTACCAGGAAATCAACTGCAGCGCGGGGAGCGCTGCTAGTCAGGGGAGCCGCCGGCTCCTTTAAAAAGTTTGCTGATACAAAGTTACTC